TTCACCCTCCAATGGCCGCTGCGGCCGGCGCACTGCAGCCGGCGCACTGCGCTGATACGAAGGCAGGAGCCAGGTGCTTCTCCTGGTCTCCCATGGGGTTCAGGGCCCAAGCATTTGGGCCATCCTCCACTGCACTCCCTGGACACAGCAGAGAGCTGGCCTGGAAGAGGGGCAACCGGGATAGAATCCGGCGCCCCGACCGGGACTAGAACCCGGTGTGCCGGCGCCACAAGGCGGAGGATTAGCCTAGTGAGCTGCGGCGCTGGCCCACTAATCATATATTTTAAAGGCAATTTTGTTCATGCCTGATCTTATTAACTTAAATAGTGTTAGTGAACAATATTTGCATACTGTTTGTATGAACACATGAATTTTCCTTTATGAATATTTTATTAAATACACTATATTCAATAAGTGCATTTTTATTAAAAGGTCTAAGAAAGTCATTATTTTCAGGGGTTGGGTCTGTGTTATAAGTAACGTCGATCTGGCTTTAGCATTGTTATTATTTCTACATAGAAACTCAATTGTATGTCTGTAAGTACATTTGTGTACAGCAGCAAAACTTGAAATAATTGTGAGTATGCAAACACACAAGCACATACACACAAACACACACACACACAAAGTTTTACCTGTAGGCACATGACTTGGCTAATGTTCTGGTTAAAAAAAATTAAAAATATTTTTAGGGATTTCAGGATTGTGATCATTTTTCCTTCTTTTAAGTATTTAATCAGAGCTTTTTGTGTGTTAAAATGGTCACTTTTGAGAGAAAAGCATGAAAGACTATATTTTCTACTGTAGTTGTCCTTAGTGGAATATTCTGAGTGTTTTTGTGTGTTGGTCAAGTTTATGTGAGATCCATATAATTCTCAAGATTTACATGGCAAATAACCTAGGACTTAATCAGGAGCCAGTGTTTCACTTAGACTGCCTGGGATGCCCACATCTCATATCAGAGTGCCTAGTTTTGCATCCCAGTTCTGCTCTCCATTGCAGCTTCCTGCTAATGCTCACCCCCTGAGGACTTAAGTACTTGGATCCCTGCCACTCACATGGGAGACCTGAATGGAGTTCCCAGCTCCTGATTTCAGTTCGGCCCAGCCCCAAATGTTGCAGCATTTGGGGAGTGTCTATTTGTCTATCTATCTTTGTCTCTGCCTCTCAAATAAAATAGGTTTAAAATTTTTTAGAGTCCTGTTTAGTTAAAATTTTCTAGAAACAACTTGACACAAAAGCCTACTAAGAAACGTGGAAAGGACAACTGACACAGAACTTAAGACGTAAATGAAGCTCTATCATTGACAATCTCTCATTCAGGAAGGCTGTGCCAAAAATTACATGATTCAGTTATATGGGTATTATATTTCAGGCAGAACAATAAAAAATTGATCTTTTGTCTTAATCATGACAATAAAAACAATAGTAATAACAGTAAAAAGAGGAAGAAAGAGAATTACCAAAAAGAAGAAGGGGAAAGAAACCAACAAAAACAGCAACGGTTGTTGTGGATGTTGTGATGCCCCTACTCTTCAGGACTAAAGTGCTCATTCCTCCAGCTCAGAGAGTTGACAATTTTTGTATTCCCACCTGAGTATATTTCTCAGGGTTTACCCTCATCTGAAGAGAACTGACTCGCCAAAAGTCCTGTCCCCTTAGCAAAAGGCAGCCTGCACCAAATAACTGGTAGATACAGGAGTTTAAAAGTTTGGCCACTTTTTCCTAATTTGTGACAACTCATCATTACCCACCCCAACTCCAGAGCTCCCTGTGAAATCCGTTAAGTCATTTCCTGTATCACTGCTCAACTTCTCCCTGTGCGCAATTCTCTTTGCTTCCTCATAGGTGTTGAACTTCCCAATTTCTTCCCAATAAAATTTCTGTAAGGAAATTTCCACTTCATATTACCATTCCTAGAAGAATTAACTTGCAACAATATCACCCATATATTGCGAAATATATGCCATGCCCTGTTGTTTTTTTATATATTGATATATTTACTTTTCACAACATTATGGTTTATGTTAGATTATTATTCCCATTTTATGGATGAGGAAACTGAAGCATAAAGGGGTTTGGTAACTTGCCAAGGACTCACATCTAGTTAGTATCAGAGACAGCCAGGTTTTGTACCCAGGTACTATGACACTAGACCACATTCTCTTAACCACTATGCTAACAATGCCTTTTGACATTGATACCACTGAGTTTTATTTCCAAGGTGTTTTTAAAAAGATAACAGGCTGAGGCTGATGTTATGGTGCAATGGGTTAAGTTGTCATCTGTGATGCTGCCATCCCATATCAGAGCACCAGTTAGAGTTCTTGTTCCACTTTCGATTCAATTCCCTGCTGCTGTACCCGGAAAGGCAGCAGAGGATGACCCATGTATTTGGGCCCCTCTCACCCAATTGGGAGACCCTGATGGAGTTCCTGGCTCCTGACTTCAGTCTGGTCATCTCTCTGTAACTCTCTCTAATAAATAAATAAATATTTTTTAAAAAATGATAACGGGCTGTCAGACTTTACTTAGTTCAATTTTGTTTGCAAAATGCTTCTTTGCATAATAACATTAAGAAGTAACTACTGGGGCCAGCATTGTGGCATAGTAAGTGACATTGTGACATAGCATATGTCCCAGCTGCTCCACTTCCAATCTAGTTCCCTGTTAATTGCCTGGGAAAAGCAGTGGAAGATGGCCAAGTGTTTTGGCCTCTGCCACCCACGTGGGAGACCTGGATGAAGCTCCTGGATCCTGGCTTCGACCTGGCCCAGCCCTGGCGATTGTTTGAGAAGTGAACCAGCAAATGGAAGCGCCTTCCTTCTCTCTCTCTCTCCCTCTCTCTTTCAAAAAAAATAATAAATAAATCTTTATTTTAAAAAAAGAACTACTATTCTAAAACTAGTTTTCAATACAAGGTCCAAAATAATCCTATCAAAACTAAGTTACAAAGATAAGTGGCACTGAATTTAAGATGTCATTTGGGATGCCACATTCCACATTGGAGGGCCTGGGTTTAAGTCTAGCACCACTTATAATTCCTGCTTCCTGCTAATGTGCATCCTAGGAGGCAGCAGGTGATCAGTCAAGTGCTTGGGTCACTGTCACCGATGTGGGAGACCTGGATTGAGTTCCAGGCTGCTGGTTTCTGCATGACCTAGCATTGGTTGTGATAAGCATTTGGGAAGTGAACCAGCAAATAGCTCGCTCGCTCTCTCGCTCTCTCTCTCTCTCCCTCCTTCCTTCCCTCTCCCTCTCTCAGTCTCTCCCACTCTCTCCTTTGCCTTTCAAATATATAAAAATAAAGAAAAAATACTAAGTTACATCCTGCTGCAATTCCTCAGATCAATGTCCTTCAATAATTTTCCATCTCACTGACAACAAAAGTCAAATTCTTGTAGGGTCAGCTAAACTTTGGTTCAACATACATGCTGTTTTTGCTGGGCCCATTCTGTCATATCCCTCCTTGTGGGAGGAGTCCAAGTCCCACCCCACTGACATCATTTGGCCATGTGACTTGCTTTTCTTTTTTAAAGATTTATTTATTTATTTGAAAGGCAGAGTTACAGAGAGAGAGAGAGAGAGAGAGAGAGAGATAGGTCTTCCATCCGCTGGTTCACTCTCCAGTTGGCCACAATGGCTGAAGCTGTGCTGATCTGAAGCCAGGAGCCAGGAGCTTCCTCCGGTTCTTCCTACACGGATTCAGGGACCCAAGGACTTGGGCCATCTTCCACTGCTTTCCCAGGCCATAGCAGAGAGCTGGATTGGAAGTGGAGTAGCTGGGACTCAACTTATTGCCCATATAGGATGCTGGCACTGCAGGCCACTACACCACAGCCCCAGCTCCAGCAACTTGCTTTTGCCAATGAACTACGAATATGACATGTCATGTCTGAGTAAAAGCTTTAAGAATCATCACATGGGGTGGTTGGCACTGTGGCATAGCTGGTAAAGCTGCCACATTCAGTGCCGGCATTGCATATGGGCACCTTTCGAGTCCCAGCTGCTCCACTTCTAATCCAGCTCTCTGCTATGGCCTGGGAAAACAGTAGAAGATGGCCCAAGTCCTTGGGCCCCTGCACCCGCATGGGAAGACCCAGAAGAAGCTCCTGGCCTCCTTTCTTCAGATCGGCACAGCTCCAGCTGTTGTGGCCATTTGAGGAATGAACCAGCTGATGGAAGACTTTCTCTCTCCCTCTCTCTTTCCCTCTCTCTCTCTCTCTCTCCCTCTCTCTCTCTCTCTCTCCCTCTCTCTCCCTCTCCCTCTCCATTCCCATCCCTCTCCCTCTCCCTCTCCCTCTCCCTCTCCTCCTCTCCCTCTCTCCCTCCTCCTCTCCATAACTCTCCCTTTCAAATAAATAAATAAATCTTAAAAACAAGAATTATCACATGGTTCCACCACGACTCTTCTACTTCTACAATAAGAATAGCTCCTTTAGCTTACTTACTCGAACGAAGACAATATAAAAAGAATCACAAAAAAATCTATGAAATGTATATAAAATGAGCCAAAATTTTTTGTTGGGAGCCACTGAAATTCAGGTACATTTTTTAAAAGCAGAGTATAAGTTAGAAAAAACTGACCCATGCCTCTTACTGGGACAGTGTATGACATGTAATTCCTCTGGCCTATGACCTTTATATCTATGACATAGCAGCACTGATGAAGAATGAAATCCATCTTTGAATCAGCTGAACCATGATTATATCAGGGATCCCATCTTGTCTTCCAACACCCATTGTCTTCTCCAAGAATCACCTTGAAGATGCCAGAAATTGATTTAGGTGTGCCTCCTCTTAGCTTCCATAGCACTCTCTACTTAGTCTGCTCTAGTACTTAGAACACTATAACAAAATTGATGGTTTAAAATATCTCCCCCTATACTTACTCAATCCATGAGTTCTAGGGCAGATGCTATATCTTGTATAATGGTATAAGCAGAACACACCACTGTGTTCATGACAGCAGTTTAATAAATGTTTATTGGATAAATTAGTGAATTAGCACTAGGATTGATTTATTAACCTTTTTAATTTTTGTTACATTTTAGCACAGCAAAGCAAATACAGGTAAACATCAGTATTCTTTACACAAAAACAGACAGAAAGGGAGGTAAGCCACAACTTAGAGTGCTTTTTCTGTTGTTATTATATTTGTTTAACACCTGAAGTTATATTACTTTACTGGTGAATTTATTCAAACTTTCAAGGAAAAGCTTAAATCTATAGCTATATGCTATATATTCTCTTCCAGATAATGCAACAAGATGGAAAGATTCTCAAAACATTTTGTAATGCCATCAAAACTCTTTTTACCCAAATACAACAGAGACAGCAAGTAGTCAATCACATTTATACTACTGGACAATATATTAAAACAACTGAAACTTTTCAAGATACTGAACAAGAACTAAATATGAAAAGACATAAACGGACCTGAAACACAAATACAAAATACATTATGTACCCCACACACACAAACACACAATACGTGAGACTCAGGGCTCTAAGAATCCAGCCTTGCAAGGCCCCTCTGACGGCTACACATTCCTCTATCTGAAGTTGTGGACAAGGAATTGCCTGCGCCCAGCATCAGCTCTGTTGGCTTCATCTTCCATTGCCTCCCTGTACTGCTGTGGCCAGTCCTGTGGCTCCTTTCTGTGGATTCTGGCCACATATCGTAGAGCTTTCATCTTGGAGGTTTCCAAGCGGGCTCTAGGGCCCCACACAAACTCATATTGCACTGGATCGCTGTCAGGAACCCGTAAACTGTCTATGTAGCGCTGACTCAGATACCTGCAGGTGATCACATGCTTTCTCCCAGACTGAACCCCTAAGCCCCGCAGAAAGGCCCAGACTGCGGACTCCTTGGCATGGTTACCCATTATAAAGATGAAGCTTAGAACTTGCATCAAGAAGTTGTTGCCAGGCCTGTTTGGACTGTCGACGATCTCTTCAGTGTCTTCCATTTCCCTACGGTTGTACAGTGTATAGGAGTGGTTTCTAGGATCAAGTACCACTAACTCTGTCCCATAGACATGGTTCAGGGTGCGAGCAGCACGATTCAGGAGGTCAGGGAATACTTTGCTGCATTCTCGGCCAATGTAGTACAGAATCCCTTTCTTTGGTATAGGCAGCTTAGTTGAGTCCATAAGCAGAAATAATTGCACCAACTTTCTTGACTTGCTCTCCATTCTTGACTCAGGCCATGAGTGCGGGGGGTATTTTGAGGGATAAGCAGAAACATCTAAATCGGGATTTGGTACCTCTGCAGGAATTTCCTCAAAATAGGGCCTCCGAAAGTGAGGGAAGGCCTGCCATTCCTCAGCAGCAGCTCTGATAGCTTCTTCCTCCAGCGCCTCATTGTATCGTTCTGGCCAGTCCATAGGATCTTTGTTATAGATCTTCGCCATGAACTTCAGAATTTTCATCTTGCTAGTTTCTAGGTGGGCTCGTGGGCCCCAGAAAAACTCATATTCCACTTGTTCATGGTCAGTTATTGGCCTGTAGTCCAGGTAGTGCTGCCATACAAACTCTATAGATAGAAGTCTCTTTGGGTTCCCAAAAATGGAAAGCCGCCTCTCTCGCTGCACCCCCATCCTCCAGAGCATTTCCCAAATTTCAGCCTCTCTGGCTTGGTTGCCATTTAGAAATATTTGTCCAAGAATCATCATCAGGAGGCCCATCTTTGGCCCATTTGGGATCTCTTCTAACCCTTCAAAAGGCACAGGTCCCAGTTTGTTGAGCAGAATGTAGGTACGCTGTTCAGGGTCAAGCTCCCTTAATTCAAACCTAAAAATGCACTCCAGGTGGGCTGCTGCTCGTCTGAGGATCTCAGAGAACTGGCTGCGATATTCTTTACCAATATATTCTCGCATCTCAGACTCCCTTATAGGGTACTTGCTCTGATCTTTCACCAGCAGGAACTGTAACAACTCGGCCACGTTCTGCTCCATAGGATCCTGGGGCTTCAGGGTGAGGACAACTGGGGAAGTGCCCAGGCCCATAATGGTAATGCAGTTGGAACTCTCACAGTCTCTCAGGACCTGGAATTCCACGGGGCCTCCTGCACCCTTGGGGCCCTCATAGTCAGCAGGAGCCTTGGCGACCTTACGGCTTGGCACAGCAATGGAGCACTTGCAGGGGTTCCTGCCCACAGCAGCACTGGAGCTCAGCAATGCAGTAGGGTCTTCAGAGGCAATGTGCATCCTGGAGGTGCTTGGGCCCTCCCCAGGGCTGGGCAGCATGGAGGTGCTGAGTCCTTTGGAGGCCTTGAGCTGCACGGAGGGGCTTGGGCCCCCAGCGGGGGTTGGCATCTGGCGGGTGCTCGGGCCCTCGCCAGGACCGGGCAGCAGGCAAGTGCTGAGTCCCTTGGAGGTGGTGGGCTGCGTCAAGGTGCTTGGGCCCTCTCCAGGGCTGGACAGTACAGAAGTGCTGAGTCCCTTGGAGGCGGTGGGCTGCCCCGAGGTGCTTGGGCCCTCTCCAGGGCTGGACAGTACAGAAGTGCTGGGGCCCTCACCGGAGGGGGTCGGCACAGAGGCGTTTGCTCCCTCGGAGGCGGTGGGCGGTGCCGAAGTGCTCGGGCCCTCACCGGGGGAGGGCGGCACGGAGGTGCTGGACCCCTCAGAGTCAGTGGGCAGCACGGAGCTGCTCTGGTCCTCCCCGTGGGTGGGCGGCACACAGGCGCTTGAGCCCTCAGAGGCGGTGAGTGGCACAGAGATGTTCAAGCCCTCAGAGATGGCTGGACACCCGGAGGTGCTTGAGCCCTCATCTGGGGTGGGCGGGCCGGAGGTGTTCTGCCCCTCAGAGATGGTGGGCTGCCGGCAGGCACTTGAGCCCTCCGAGGCGGTGGGCGGCACAGAGGAGCTTAGGATCTCATCGGAGGTGGGCGGCACAGAGGAGCTTAGGATCTCATCGGGGGTGGACGGCACACAGGTGCTTGGGCCCTCACAGTCGCAAAGGCCCCGGGGGTCGTCGGGGCCTGGCGTAGCAGCGGGGAACCCGGGGGCCTCAGGGGCCTGCATTTCACCCCAGCTGCTGCCGTTCTGCGCCGTGGCCTTTGCACCGCGGCGCCGGCGGCGCGCATTCTGGCTTACCAGCGACATGGTCCTGTCGACCGACCGGCGCGAGAGAGCAGACACCCACTGGCCCGCGATCTGGCAGAGAGACAACGCGAAGTGTGTAGGAGCCTCCGCACAAAATTGCCGCTACTGATAAAGCTGCTGCCGCTGCTGCTGCTACTGCTGCCGCCGCCGCCGCCGCCGCCCCCGCCCCCGCCGCTGCTGCTGCAGCTGCTGCTGCTACCCGGGCCGCCGCTGCCGCTGCTGCCGCTGCCGCCAGTGACAGAACCAAAGTTGCAAGCAACTTGCTGGAGCTGATATTAGAGGTGGTGAAACAGAAGGAAGGTTTTGGCCAACAGTGAACGCAAATCTCAATGTACTCTGCTTCTCACACCCCGCCTTCTGCCGCAGTCCGCGCAGGCGCAGTCAGGCTCTGCGACAAGACGACCCCGCCTTGCCCAACCCCTCCCCTGGGCCCCTGACCATAAATGTGGTGGTTCTGCACCAAAGGAGTGCACTAGTAGGAGGGAGATTTGGGTAGGGTGAGACAGGGAGCTTGGAGCAGATGGGTAGGAAATAAAAATGCAAATAACAAATAATTCTTAGAATTAGGGTAATAATTAGCTTCTATACAGATTGCCAGGCACTAAATAGAGTCTCAGAATTAGTAGGTAGTAACCTCAGGACTTGCCCTTTCCCTGAGAGTCTCCCATCCCTGCCCCATCTCCTCTATCATTTTCTCCATTTAGGTGTCTAATAGCTCCTCTCCTACTGTTATAAGCTGGTAAGAACTTGTTTCTAGAAAGTCTCACAGTCTGGGTTTCTAGTCCCAGTTAGGAAGCCTGGAACAAGCCCAACTCTTACCAGTAGAGAAGAGCAAAATCTGCTTTGGAAAAGCCTCTACAACTGTTGCAAATGTGGTTGATCTCCTCACTTCTCAATCACTTGTTCATGTAATAGCGTTGTTGGGAAAGTCAACTGAGATGCTGTTAATGGTTGTTACCTACTCTGTTTTATTGTTTTTAACCTAACATTTTTTTGAATAGATCCAATCCTCTTGACTCCATTGTTCATTCATTAAGCAAACGATGATTATCTACCCAGAAGTTGCAGAGTTGGTTTCTTCATCCTCAAGGGACCCTCAATGCAAAAGTGAGAGTCAGACAAAGAAAAAGTAAAACAGTGTTTTCTATAGATTTGCACAGAGTACAGTGGAGGGCAGGATCGGTTCTACCTATTGATCCACATAACACTTCATGGAAGTTATTTAAAACATGTGTGGGTAGGTGTCTACCAAAAGGACCAGGAGGATGAAAAACTATCCCAACTGACAACAGCAACACTGAATTAGCAAAAACAAAAAACAAACAAACAAACAGTGTAGTGTAGTGCACACATACAGGTTGTTTGAGCCAAATTCACATTGACATATCAGATCCTCTATCACTCAGCTTACCATTGTCAAGCCTCTATTAAGGGGCTGGTGCCGTGGCTCAGTGGGTTAATGCCCTGGCCTGAAGCACCATCATCCCATATGGACGTCGATTCGAGACCCGGCTGCTCCACTTCCCATCCAGCTCTGCTATGGCCTGGGAAAGCAGTAGAAGATGGCCCAAGTCCTTGGGCCCCTGCACCCACGTGGGAGACCTGGAAGAAGTTCCTGGCTCCTGGCTTCAGATTGGCGCAGCTCCGGCCATTGTGGCCATTGGGGAGTGAACCAGCGGATGGAAGACGTCTCTCTCTCTCTCTCTCTCTCTCTCTCTCTCTGCCTCTGCCTCTCCTCTCTCTGTGTAACTCTGACTTTCAAATAAATAAATAAATTTTAAAAAAAAAACTCTATTAAAATGTTTGTACCTTACTACAAACACATATGTGGACTCTTCAAAAAGTTCATAACAGAGTTAAGCATTGTGGCACAACAGCTGTTGCTTGCAATGTCAGCATTCCATATTGGAATGCCGGTTCAAGTACTGACCTAGCTTCCAATTCAGCTTCCTGATATTATGCCTGGGAAGGCAGCAGAAGATGGCTCAAGTCCTTGGATCCCTGCCACTCATGTGGGAAACCAGGATGGAGTTTCTGGCTCCTGTCTTTCGCCTAGCCCATACATGGATGTTGTAGCCATTTAGGGGAGTGAACTTTCAGATGAAAGATCTCTGTATCTCTCCTTCTCTCCCTCTCTATGTGTCACTCTGCCTTTCAAATGGATAAATAAAGAAATCTGCTTAAAAAGTTCAAGTAAAATGAGAATTATGAAAAAAAATGTATGAATGTTGAAAATTTTTAGAACCAAAATAAACTTAGCTTTTAATTCCATTTTTCACAAACATTTTGATGTACCCTCTTATGTGTTCCTTCTTAATATCTTCACAACAATCTAGGAGTAAACGTTCTTTACACATGTTTGAGGAGAGGGAAAATACTGTCTACAGTCAGAGTGCCACTATTTCTGTTTCCAACAGAGAAGCAATTCCACCTATGCCATGAGAAGCAATCTCACTTATTCCATGCATCCACTTCCAACACTTGGAAGTCCAGTGTAAATATTATGCCCAAGACCCATTCAGAGGGGAAGACCCAAAAGTCTAGGATGTTTCTAAGCCTCAGAAACATACATTCCTAACCTAGGATCTAGTAATTTCTAAAGACCTTGAAGTTGTTCTAACTTTATGAATCAGTAATTTTGCCTCTAATAATAGATTCTAAGGGAACCATAAGCTCTATGAAGGGTCCTCAAAAAGTTTATTAAAATGTGTTATAGAAAAACTATGCATTGATTTCAATAATATTTGTAGCCGCGGCCAGCATTGTGGAGTAATGGGTTAAGCCACTGTCTGCAGCGTCAGTATACCACGTGGGCGCCAGTTTGAGTCCTGGATGCTCTACTTCCCACCCAGCTCACTGTTAATGCACCTGGGAAAGCAGCAGAAGATGGACCAAGAGCCTGGGCCCCTGAACCCACGTGGGAGACCCAGATGAAGCTCCTAGCTCCTGGCTTCAGCCTGGCCAAGTCCTGGCCATTGCAGCCATTTGGGGAGTGAGCCAGCAAATGAAATATCTCTCTGCGTGTGTCTTTCCATCTCTACAATTCTGACTTTTAAATAAGTAAATTTTTTAAAAAGTTTACAGCAAAATAATTATTTAAATCTGATCTTCCCACAAACATCTTCAAAATGATTGTTTTTATTTGAGAGACAGAGAGACAGATCGTTCCCATCTGCTGCCTCACTCCGGAAATGCCTGCAGTGGTCAGGCCTGGGCCAGGCTGAAGCCAGGAGCCAGAAACTCAATCTAGGTTTCCCATATGGGTGGCAGCAACCCAATTACATGAGTCATCACTACTACCTTTAAGAGTCTGCTTTAGTAGGAATCTGAATTCAGAAGTGGGATGCAGGTATTGAATTCAGCCACACCAGTGTGGGACATGAGCATCTTAACCACTAAGCTAAATGCATTCTCCCAAAAAAAACTTTATGAAATACTCCTATGTGTAAGATATATATAAAAGAATTTTAAAATTTTCAATGTTTATTTATCTACTTTCATTTACTTGAAAAGGAGGGAGGGAGGGAGGGAGGGAGAGAGAGAGAGAGAGAATGAATCTTCCATCCACTGGTTCACTCCTCAAATGCCTGCAATAGCCAGGGCTGTGCCAAGCCAAAATGAGGAACCCAGAAATCAACATGGGTCTCTCACATTGGTGGCAGGTACCCAAGTACTTGAGCCATTATCTGCTGCCTATCAAGGTGCACATTACAAGGAAGTTGCATAAAAAGTGGAGGAACATGAATTTGAACCGACACTCGGATATGGGATACAGTTGTCCCAAACAGTGGCTTACTCCACTGTACTACAACGCCTGTCCCTAAAATAATATTTATTATATAATTTGTTCTAATATAGTAAAGCTAAAAACTATATGAATGTTAAATAGAGGTAATTTATACAAACTATAGTACTTAAAAAAGGGAATGTCAGTAAGTCATTATAATGAAATCAAAGAGTTCTAATAATGACAAGTTGATTGCATTTGGCTTGTCAAAAAAACTAAAAATTTGAGGTAAAAAACTGTTTAGAATCACAATACCTACAAAAATTAAATATTCTTAAATAAATTTAACTAAGGATGTGAAAGACCTCTACAATAAAAATTACAAAATATTAAAGAAATAGAAGAAGATACAAAAAAGTGGAAAAATCTTACATGTTCGTGGACTTGAAGAATTAATATCATCAAAATGTCCACACTGCTGAAAGCAGTTTATAGATTCAATGCAATCCCAATCAAAATACCAATGATATTCTTCTCAGATATAGAAAAAACAATGCTAAAATTCATATGGAAACACAAGAGATCCCAAAGAGTTAAAGCAATCTTAGACAATAAAAATAAAGCCAGAGGCATCACAATATCAGGTCTCAAGACATACTACAGGACAGTTATAATCAAAATATCCTGATACTTGAACAAAAATAGACATTTAGACCAATGGAATAATGGAATAATCCCCAGAAATTAATTCACACATCTACAACCAACTAATCTTTGACAAAAGAGCTAAAACCAATCACTGGAGAAAGGACAGTCTCTTTAACATATGGTGTGACAAAAGTGGATCTACATATGCAGAAGTATAAAGGAAGTCCCCTACTTTATGCCTTATACAAAAATTAACTCAAAATGGATCAAGGATATAAATTTACAACTTAGATATAATCAAATGACTAGAGGAAACATCAGGGCAGACTTCTTGGAAAAGACTCCAGAAGCAAGATAATAAAAGTAAAAACAGACAAATGAGATTACATCAAACTAAGAAGCTTCTTCACTGCAAAGGAAACACTCAACAAAGTTAAGAGGCAATTTACAGAAAGGGAGAAAATATTTGCAAACTATGCAACTGATAAAGGATTAACATCCAGGATCTATAAAGAGCTCAAGAAACTCAACAACAACAAAACAACTAATCAAGTTAATAAATGAGCAAAGGAAAGCTGGTTCTGTGGTTTAGCAGATAAAGCTGCTGCCTGCAGTGCTGACATCCCATATGGGCACCAGTTCAAGTCTTGGCTGCTCCACTTCCAATCCAGCTCCCTGATAATGCACCCAGGAAAGCAGCAGAGGGTGGCCTAAGTACTTGGACCCCTTCACCCATGTGGGAGGCCCAGAAGAAGCTCCTGGCTCTTGGCTTTGGATTGGCCAGCTCCAGCCATCACAGTTATTTGGGGGAGTGAACCAGCAGATGGAAGATTCTCTCTCTCTCTCTCCCTCCCTCCCTCCCTGTAACTATGCCTTTTTAAATAAATAAATAATTTTTAAAAGAAATGAGCAAAGGACATGAACAGACATTTTTCAAAGGATGAAATTCAAATGGCCAACACACACATGAAAAAGTGCTCAGGATCACT